GCAGCAGACTGAATATTACGTCGCCCCAGGTGTCCTGATGATGGGAATTTCTGACACGTCCAGATAATTTCTTCGCTACCTCCTCCCTTAATAAGTACTTGGCGTTATCGTCCTCTAGTCAAGCATACACAGGTTTCTATCGACGCCTCATTCGGTGACAATTAAAGTACAGACATACGCGTGATTCGAATCCAAGGAGGCTGACCAAAAAGAGTGGTAGTCTTCCACCGATCTTTTTCACTGATGGCTTATAGAAGCATGATCTATGTACAACCATCGTTAATTTGATATCAGCAGACACTTGGTGAAACAGTTTCTCCTGACGCTTGTAGTTGGTGTTGACCAGAAACGAGCAGCCATCTGAAAAAATTGCAGCAGACGATCGTTATTGTTGGTTGGATACTGCATATGCTGCAAGATGCCTTTCCGATAGGCTCCGCTTTTTAAGTGAGCAATAAAGACGCCTGTTATTATTACTATACGCAAACGTTTTGCTTGATGCAACTAGGTTAAAAAATTTAGATGGGATTCATCCTTTGGATCATCCGTACTGCAGTCAATGGGTGTGTAGGCAGAGATTATGAATAGGTACCAGCTATTCACACGATTCTTCCTACATCTTACACATCCCTTCAGTCAAGCACTACATAAATAGTTGTTGAGTGGTATCCAGTTGAGGAGTACAGTTTCTGTTTTGTAGCTCAGTGTAATGTCCACACCAGAGTTCGCTAGAGCTAGCTTCTGAATTTCCATTTACTTGCAAGTTGAATTTTAAGGATTTACAATACTATCTAGGTGAGGTCAACTTATTCACCATACTTGGGTCCTGTATACTTGTCTAAGCATACATCCATGGTTCTAGATTCCAGGGTTCTGGCAAGACATACCTTCTGTTCGATTCCGCATAGGATGTGAACATTGAAAGCGCAAATATGAAACTGGCAGTGGGGTTTAGGAGATAAGGAATGGTATCTACTTGACTTGGATCTTTGCAAACGGTCGCAAGACGAAAATTTGATGGGAGACAGCACTAGTGCGGGACTCCTAGCCATCTAAGGGAAACGCCTTACTGTTTCCAGACCTAATTCATCCAGCAGTACGACTTTGCCCTGAGTTTCTCATCGTAGCGTAGCAACTTACAGCACAGTGGTGGCTGCTATTTGTTTCACCAATATCCAACAGGCCTTTCCGGTATGATAGGACCTCGGGGGAACAAGAGTCTCACTAGAAAAGCCCACTGAGTCACTTTGATATGGTAGCCAAACTACCACCTCATGGTAGGTGGTATCCTTCAGATGTTTTGACAGCCAGGTAGTTTCATTCGCCTTCACACAGTCAATGTGGCCCATTGTATACTGCACAAATGTGCACAAGATATTTGAATGCGACTTTATCTTATCCTGTTCTCTAACTGTCGATTGTTTGTTCAAGAACAAGTTTGAGACCTCTCTTTTTTTTCGCTACGTCTATGAATTACCGAAAATGTATAAAACTTCGGTGCTCTTATTCACCGAAAGCATAAAAGTCTGCAGAGTCATTTGGAACGATGCAGACGGGTAGACACTTTAAACAGACTTCGATGAACTGGTTGGTTGATTAAAATATTACTGGCTAGAGATCATTTGTGGCAAAAGTGCAGTAATGCAAATTAGCCACAGTAACTTTTATAAGTATTCCACTGGCGAAAGTTGAGTACACTAAGTTTTGGAAAAACATTTTGGTGTGTCCATCAGTCATGGCCTCAAAATTGCCATGTACTGCGATGCAGCTGTAGCGAAAGGTTTCCATGCTTTGTGGTTCTTATACAGGATACTCAAGCGTTTTGATCATGATATGTTTAAGGTACACCATCCTACATACATACGATCTCACTTACAGTAATCCATTCAGGGGACTATTTCATGCTTCGAAAAGGACACCAATGTACTTTATATTGTGAAAAATGTAGGGACTTTTTAGATGAAAGGCTATTAAAACCAGCTGAATCTAATTCTGCTGCCTTGTCATACGTAAAAATGTGACCATATATTGACACGCCGTATCCGTAAGAATGACTTTTATACTAATATATCTCATATTTTTTCTTATCGAAAAATGATTGCATCCGAGGCTAAAATTGGAAATTCTCGGAGCCCCTACCCGATCTATTTTCACTGTGAACTTATGTTTATCTTAAAAAGAGGTTAATGACCAGAACAAACTCATCCAGTGACAGACTGAATCTTTACGAACATACTTCTTGTAGGAACTGACAAAAGCCAAACTGGCTGATATCCCGACGATTGAAGATTAGATCACACAAGAACGTCATATCACATTTCACATACGCCGGTGACTTTCGTGTTTAGAGACCAACTATCAATCGTCTTTGTTGTTACTTAGGAAGTCAGTTCACTTCTGATAGGTCGGTGACTGACAAAATTACGCATACCTATTCATCAGCTTGACGGATGAGTTCAAAAAGTCTCCAACTTCTGATCTGAACAGTTTGAAAGAATGAGAACTAGATGTTGATATTGAATGACTGACTAACTTATAAGATTTAACCATCAAGGAATGTGAACATGCACTGGCAGGCTATTCACAAAAATAACCTCAAACTACATTATTGCGTAGTGCTTAGTAGTGGTATGCTTCGTGAAGAACATTCCGAAGTTCTAACGAGATGCCAAAACCTGTAGGGTCAACCAGTTGGGAGTGAAAAGCATGTCAACTGAAGAATTTGGTGGGCAGTCAGGATATAACACGACTGACAAAAGTAGGAAACTGTGAACGACTAAACTCAGATTCAGTGGCTGAATGGTTAACGCTTTCGCTGTACAAACCAAAAGGCCCTGCTTTAGAATCCTGGTGAGGTTGTGCGTGCAAACTGCTGGGGAGTCCCATGAGGGGGTGAAACTGTTCGGTGGTCGGTGGTAGTTATACAGCTAATGTCAGTCCGTGATGAATACTATCTTAAAGAAATAAGTACTTTGTCATTTATGATTTTCCACTTCCATTCCACTGATTTGTCTTCACGTTTTGAATCACCAATCAAATTCATTTCTATATCACTAAAACTGAAATTTCAAACTGAAGATATTTGGTTTTGTTGACCAGTGTGTAAAAGGTAATAGAAAAAAAAGAAAATGGAAACCTTTTATTCTATTGCTTATTCACAACAACAAAACAATCCATATTCATCGGAATTGTTATTAGCAGTAAACATATGATTGAAATCCATTAGTCACAAAACGCTAAACCTAGGTCCAGTCGAAAACAGTGGGACTATCAAATTATTCAAATGACATGAAACACCCGATTTTACTTACTTTGTAGAAGTAATTGATGTCATAGCTTTTAGTTTGACATCTTTCGCTGGATCGGACATTATTAGTGTGTGAGGTCAGTGAGAACCATGTTACTCACAGAGAGGCAGGTACATTCAGAAGATAACTAACAAAAAGAGAGAAAAGCGCTTCTTGGATTCGACTGCTAGATCCTATCCATCATGGGTACATTTTCCTCGATAATTGCCATTGTTCTTGATTATTTTAACTACCACGGAAACAGATTTTCATCTACGATAGCCGATAAAAGACACTCCATTAGTCCTTTAATTACGATCAGAATCATTTCGTTAGCTTCGTAAAAGTTTATAGTACACTTTAGATGAATAATTTCTAGCATAATAAAGAACAAAACTGATTTTCAAGCATAAATAAAAAATTTATTTTTCAAATCGAATAAATATTTCATCAACTTGTATTTAATGAGCACATGTTTATCTAATTCTGGTTGTATATAATGTATGTCTTTTTAAAGCGTATGAATCTGTCATAAGGTAGACTTTATTCTTCACAACTAATGAGGGGACAATTGCCCTATCCAAACTGATTTATAACAAGTAGGCGAAGAAATATGAACGAAAGTGTAAATATAATTTTGATGCATTCGTAAACTAACAAATGCATCAACCGTTTCTCTAATAATAGTCACGACAGTAGTCATAATAGTAATAATAATAAAAATAATAATCATAATAACAATGATAATAATGAGTATGAACAAGACTGATAGTACAAAGTCACAACCAATAATGAAACAGTAGACACATATATAAACATGCTAATAAAAGAGATAAGGGTCTGCATGTGAGTGACAATTTCAGAAAGCTGTATCACACGTCAACATTGTAGGGTGTACAACAACACACAGAAGTAGTCGATTGTGTTCAAATTATGAAATAATTCCTGAATAGGCAGATATATATATATATATGGTATATGGCCTACTCAATGATTGTGATAACTAAATAAATAAGTGCTAAATTTCAAAATTAAGTTTTATCACAACTGGCAAATATATGTAATAATACCATATAAAAAGATAAAATAATCAGTTTATAAACAAAGTGATTAAAATAGCGAATACGAAAAAAAGCTGAATAAATAAAAGATGTCACAACGCATTGATGATGGATAATAATTTTTATTCTTTTTCATTTTTAAATCTTCACAACCTTAAAGTTATGACACCAAGTCTCTGTTGTTGAAGTTTGGAGCATAAAATTAAACATAAGAAAAAAGTTACCACTCAAAGTATAACTAACAAGTAATTGGAATAAATAAATGAATCATTAAATGAATCATAATTAATTTTCGTTTTAAATTACAATGTTCAATATTCAATAAATTGAATTGCAAAATTAATATTTATTTTCAACTGTAATAGAAAATTAAATAATAAGTTGAGTAGATTTTGAAGGGTAAATAAAATGAAATATTTAAGATTATAATATTCTTAATTTATCTTGAGTTTAAAATTCATACACATGAAATCATTCACCTCTGTTTTACCAAGTAACGATCTATTCAATCAGTCAATATCACCATTCTCTTCTTCAGTATAAACTGGATTGTTTATATTATCTGCTTGGAATAGGTTTCAAGAGTTTGAATTATTCACATTTGTTTTATTATCTCTAGTTACTTTTGTGGCGCTTGTTATAATCTCTGATTTTAATGAATATGTTTCTTTATCATTAGGAACTTCAATTTTTCACCTACACGCAGTAAACGCGTAGTTCTTATTGATGGTCGATTATAACGATTTCCAATACGTATTGAACCTGACTTCGATGTACGTTCTTTATAACAGTGAAATATATCATGCTTTAATCTTTGTGAATTCCCACGAAAATATTTATCTGTGATGAATGATACACAGATAGTCACTGATAAGGTCAATAACATTGCAAATGTTTTACACGGGAAACGTTGATAAAAGTTGATTGAATCATCAACAAAATAAGGATATATAAATAATGGTCTCAGTCCTAGTACACTTTCTCCACTCGTCAATCGAACAAATAAACCGACTATATAACTTGCTAATGATCCGTATGTATTCGAAAATGCAACGTACAGCACACATATAAGTTGTGGAAATAGAATAACATAGACTAAATCTGAGCATAAATACCATAAGCCATAAATTGATTGGATGGCAATACCTAACCAACAAGCGAATGCACCAATCACAAATATACTAACACGCATTATCCATATAACTTGTTTTTCACTGGCTGTTTGCCAAAATATCGCTTTTACAACATTTCTAGCAAACATAGATGCAGCTGATAGGACTGATGAATCAGCTGATGACATAACAGCAGCTGATACTGCACCTAAACCAATAAATGATACCCATGTTGGGCACAGGTAACGTAGTACTAATGGTAGAATTAATTTCATTTCTTCTGGTGTATCTGGTTGAGCTAGTGTTGTATTGTATTCGGTCATTGTCCAATCTGTTAATGTGACAAGAAAAATATAAAAAGGACGGAAAAAGGTAACTTCAGTTGTGAAGAGCATTTTTGTTCATCTTTAAAATAAGCTAAACAGAATGATAACCGAATGGTTTAAGTAAAACAAAGGTATTTAAAACTTTGAAAACTAGGTAGAATCTTTTCTCATATTGAAAGTCGTAAAACTTTGCTGCTAATCTTCCTGTCAGATTACACTAGGTTTGTCTTTTTTAGGTACAAATGATTGCTACCTAAAGGACTAAAGTAGAAGGAATTTAGCTAAGGATATTCAGTCTTATTTCTACTCAACCTAGCCTAGTTTACTAGCCGGTCCTAAGGTCGGATAAAGAGGGAAGGTTGGGCCTACGGCTAGCAACCCTACCCCGTAAAACCAACCCACATCGTTAAAGAAACTTCAAAGCACAAAAAATAAAAAATATATAAATAAACATATTGCTCACTGGAATCAGGGAGGCGAAATGACGCCCGTTGGTGAAAGCCTTTGGAAAGCCAATTGGCCTGTGTCTTTTCTCGCTGAAAGCGAAAGTAAGATTGGGGACATGGAATGTCCGCACTATGTTTGAACCTAGCACAGCTTCCCAGATTGCAAAAGAGATGAGAAGATATAGCATAGAAGTGCTAGGAATCTGTGAAGAATCTTTAGATAGAATGGAAGTGAACTCTGCAAACTGTCAACTGGAGAGTCAATAATCTACTCCGATATTGTTACCCAGACGATAACCACAAACACACTATGTTTTGGAGTGGCTATCATCATGTCCCCAACAGCATCAAAGGTTCTCATGGAATCGGAACCAATCTCCTCCTCCAGGATCATCACAGCAAACTTCAACTCAAAAGGAAGGACAGCTGCAATCGCACGATGCTGCGCCACGCACCTACAAGTAATGCAGATCAAGAGAAGAAGGAGGAATTCTACAAACAACTGCAATCATCAATGGACAAGATCCCACCCCAGACGGCAACATCAAAATTATAATGGGTGACATGAATGACAAACTGGGAGCAGACAACACAGGACGAGAACCAATCATAGGTCGAGAAGCACTCAGTGAAACGAGGAATGAGAATGGAGAACTGTTTGCAGACTTCTGCACTTTCAACGACTCGGTGATTGGAGTGAGGCGGTGTGTACAAACACAAGGATATTAACAATGTAGCGACATGGAGTTGATCTCATCCCACATTAGACACACTAAAAACCGGATCGACTTCATTTCAATCTCAAGAAAGTGGAGACACAGCATACTGGACACGAGATCAAGAAGAGGAGCAGATGTAAGTGGTACAGACGACTTGCTATCTAGTGCAAGGAACCTAACTTCAAAATCAAGTTGAAAATCTTCACAGAAGTTGGTGATAGGTCACAGTTCAAGTTCAACACCCAGAAAAGAAACTGAGCTTAAGGAAGAAACTTCAGAGGACATCACGTCAGCCATCAGGACAAAAATGGAGACATTAGGCAACATCTCCAAGAAAACCTGGATGGAAGAACACTATAACTCTATGAAAGACACCTGGAAAGAAAGCTGCGTAACCGTGATAGGTAGGAAGAAGAAGGAAGACAAGGACTGGAATGAATTTTGACGGACACATAGAAGGGGATAGAGAAGTGGGAGGAAGGTGGTGAAGCAGAAGATTAACCAGTGCAGTGCAGCACAGTGTAGGGATGAACAACGAAAAGAGGAACTGAACACAGTCTATAAAACATTACGCTGGACAAAGAAATGAAGAAGAGTGCGCTCAAAGACTAAAAACACTTCTACGAAGCGTAACAGCCTGGTGGTAGTGGATACCTGACAACACCATATCAAATGACCAGGTTGCTATCTGGGGGGGGGGAGATCAACACAGATGGATCCAATGAAAGATGGTAAAGGAAAGCTAGTTAGCAAAGAGGAGAAACAAAGGAAACGATGGGCTGACCACCTCAAAATCTCCCGAGTCGACCACCACCACCATCACCTGCCACTCGTCCAGAAATACCACCAGCAGCCCACCCACAGAACTATTAGTGAACATAAACCCTTTGGAAAAGCAGAAGTGGAGTCCTGAGTGCCGTCAAGTTGCTGAAATCCAGGAAGACAGCAGGACTGAATGGAATTCCACCAGAAGCATTGAAAATAGACCCAGAGACAACAGCGGATATACTCACACCACTATTGCAGTATGTTTGGGAGGAAGGAATGGAAGGTAGCTGCCGGTTGTTCGGAAGAGGCGCTACCTTGTTAAACTCTCAAAGATGAGTGGGCGACCTAAATCTTCTCATGAACTGGCACGAAACCATACTCCTGTCCACCCCAAGCAAGCAAATAATTAAGCCGCGTCATCCTGGAGAGACTGAAAAGGTGCCCTAGATTCCAAATTACGACCAGAACAGGTAGGCAGGCTGGCTTCAGGAAGAACAAATCATGGGTGAATCAACTTGCAACACTACGCTATGCACCACCATGTAACAGAGTATAGAATGTAAGTGGACTCAACTCAATTTCATCGATTTTTAAAAGGCCTTAAATCGAGGCGTTGACGGAGAAGCAAATTGGCAGGCAGCTGCTTCAACACTATGGTGTTAGTGCCACAAACCTTTATCAACCTCATTCAACAGCAGCTGTATGCTATATGACGACGCTTCGTGCTAGGTGATTCACAATAGAAAGCTCAGTGATGCCTTTGAAGTGAAGATGGAGGACACGAGTAAGACAAGGTTACCGCCTACTATCACCGATGATCTTCCTGATTGTGGTCGACTGGACTGATGTGGGTCATGCAAGAAACTGTGAGGAGTGAGAAGATGGGCATATGCTGGCTGGACAGATGAAAAGAACCCAGAAGAAGATTTGGACTTCGCCTTTGATGATTTTTGTTTGATGTCTTGTCGCACAAACTCGAAGATCCATAGGCGAAAATTAACAAGATGGTAGAAGAGGCAGGGCAGCGAAGACTGAACTTCACGTCAACTTAGTGAAGGCAGAGGTGATGAAGATACCTGACCACCACCACCAACAACAAGCACCAATCACTATCAGCGTGAAAAATCTATAAAAAGGTAGTCTTTTTCACCTGACTTCAACTACAGGCGGCGGCCCAGATGAGGACATCAAAGCCACGATCGGAAAGATAGCGAAACAGGCCTTCATTAACCTGAAGTAATCAGTGTGGAGATCTACTGTACTCCACTCTACTGAACTGCACTCAGCATAAAGCGTGAACAAGATCCGGATTTTCAACGTTAGTACCAGTGCTTCTTTGCGGTGGTTGACAGACTTGGCGCTACGGAAAGCGTTTCCAACAAACTACAGACATACATCATCAACAGCTGCCACCTACACCCACTCCATACTGAAAGTGGAGATCAGATGGCCAGAATAAAAAAAAATCAGCAATACGGAACTCACTCTGGCTGGCTGGCTGTTAACAAACCAAATAACAACCCATCACCCAACAACTGTGCAGTAGAAGAAAGTGGAGATGGATTGGATTGGACATACACTAAGAAAACCATTTAGGGACACCACATGCCAGACCCTCGAGTGGAACCCAAAGAGGAAACGACGAGTTTGGCGTCGGAGTGTGATATGGAGGAGATGGTGTGAGGAAGACATGAAAGCTTGTGGAGAGTGTTGGAGCTAGGTTGAAAAAACTGCAGAGAGGAGAGTGCAGCGGTGACATGTTACTGACGCTCTATGTTCCTCTAGGAGCCCAAGGGAAAATAATAATAAATATTCTTGTTCACTTAAAATATGGTCTAAATTTGATGTAAATGGTGCAAATGTATTTACTCCACAACATCGAAATGTGCTGCATTTTTATTCACTAAACCTGATGTTTCTTGTCATTCTTTTTTTTATCTTTAACATTTGTGTACTTTGTCAAGTGTGGAAAATGAAAGCATGCGCAAGATTCTGATGTATTCAGAAGCCTCATCCATTCTCTTTTGAAGTTGGTATTTCAAATCACTTTGTCTTTTGTGTTCTTCTGGATATTTTCAAATGACTTTTATCGGCCAATATTAGTGTATCCTGTGTGCTTTGTAAGTTGTCAACTCAGTTTCTTTAATTTTCTTCCCTGTGCTGCTTTCTGTGGCAAGTTTCCGGAAACATACACATATGTACATGTTCTACGACATGCTTCCTTGCAGAAGTTAGTCGTCAAAGTTCTACACCGTTCTATCTCTGTCAGTTATTTCAAATGCATGAATAACTGATAGCCTTAGAAAAGCAACTTAAGTGAAACTCTAGCTCATGCTTAAATTGTAATTTAACAAGTAGTATTTTTCATTTATTTTTTGAAGTAGCTCGAATCAGACTTCTGTGAGATTATTTCAAGCCCACTTTATTTATGCATATTTGTCTTTACTACTGTGTCATTTTTTGAGTAGGTAAATTTCAATTTTAAAATTTATTACGTGACATTAACACTACTGATCTCATCAAAAATTTTTATGGGATATCTCGGATAAATTAGGGATAAGGATCAGGTTTAAAAGTAACCAGAGGAGTATTTCATCTGACAAATGATTTTAAAACAAGTCATATTAGAAGTTTAAGCATACTGCAAAGATGTGCAGTGGTCAAAGTAAAGAGCGAACTAGATAGTCTCCGTACTTTTTGATTACCTGATCAACAGGCGGACATGATTCATAAAAATATGCAAAATTTTGAAGTGATACGATGCTTGATTTGTCACACCTGACATGACATTCCACCTGCAGTTTTCAATTTATCACGAACGTCCCAGGTTATCTTCGCTTTCTTACAAAAATAATGTCGGTTAAAAATTATACGTTTTCTGTCTGATAAGAATTATTGCATAGTGCTGCTCATAGTTTTCAGCCAGTAAGAAAATGTTTCTTGCAAAGTCACGGTATACTACTTTAGGCTTCCATCACGACAAACTCCTTCAAGGAATCAGCTATTCAAGTTATTACTGTTGTATTTGAGGTAAATGTGTGTTGTAGAGTAAGTCTCTAAAAGAAGCGAAAGCTGTACGACACAGTCAACTATTGAAATATTGACAATGACTACTGTCGAAGGAAAGAATCTTTTGGTGACGCTGTGTTTCATAAAACTTGACATTTACTTTGGAATATAGTTAGTCTTGCTTACCTTACCATCTGTCCCGCTTATGAATTTGATAAACGTCAGAGAGAAAAATGACGAATTAATTGAAGCAGTTCACCATCCTATTATTTCAGAGTTGAGCGCATTTTATTTCATAATGCCCAAATAGCTTATATGTTAGTGTTCCGTTAAGGAACGGCATAGTCTGGTGACCTTGATAACAGCATACATAAAGTTTGAAGGATATGGAAATTTTTACACAATTATACGTATATATGTATATAGTGTTTTTCCATAATATTTAAAGTGGAAAATTTTCATGGTGACAGAAACAAAAATATTTTGCAATGGAGAATAATAGGTCATGGAAATAAGTTAACAAACAGATTTTGGTTAACAAAGGATAGTAAATTTTATCATTCAGTGTTTAAATCAACCAAATAGAGCTACTAATCTGTTCTGATTGATTTAATTGGTTTCTTACTTCTCTTTTCGACCAGTAGCATATACTATGCATTTCTTCTGCTTTTCTTCATTAAGTTATACTATACATTCAGTGGACTAAAGTTTGTTAGTGGTATATTTCAATTTTCGAAGAAAATCTTAATGGGATTTTGCAGCCATGTTGCTTTCTCTTGTTTTATTCTATCCAGGGATTGAGAATCCTACAATTACTTCCCTAGCTAAATTCCTAAGAACTAATGAAGTTTTTGAGTTGAAATCGACTGATCATTTTGCAAACTATGGAAATCACACATTTTGTCTTAACTGTTGGTTTTATTTACCTTATACTAGACAAACAATAATACAACTCAGTGTGATAAAAGCGATCAGCAATAGACGGAGTAAAACTGTTGGAAAGTTTTTAACATTAGCACTCAGTGAAGTTACTAGTTTCCAAGATAAGTTTTTTTACTCTTGCATTTAAATCTTGATAAGAAATATCAGCAGGCATAAATCTAAATCAAGCAGAGTTTTCTGCCATCTGGATTCAAGGTATTTTATTTTGAAAATATTGTATTTCCCTGAGTTGACTGGTACCTGATCATTTGATGAAATCATTTTATATTTTGAAGATGGTGAAATATGAACAATATCTTATCTTTTCTAAGCATATAAACACCACTTTAAGAGAAACAATCATACAATGGTTATCATGAATAGAAATTAGGCTTCAATGAAGTAATATTCCTGTAAAAAGCACCTATAAATAACTCAGACGCCTAGTTGATTACGAATATAAGGAGATATAATGAGCGTATGAACATACTTGTGCTAACACCAACAGCTCCAATTAACACTGAGGGAAGTGCCATAGCAAAGCATCCAAAAGAAGCTACAAAGCTTAGGATACGCGCTTGACTTGCAGTTCTTGAAGACAGCACACGCTAATTTGATTAGAGTGAAAGAAATATGTATAATACAAAGATAATGTAATAACCTGTACGGGTGTTTAAGACATCGCATAATGATAAATAGTAAATTGAAGCGAATGGATATACTTTATGATTATTATTTTGCACTTAAGAAGTAGTAGGAAAAATTACCATTATCTCAAAAATAATGCTGGGTAAATGAAAAGATGGCAGATAGTTACCAGATGTCAAACATTTTGTCTCTTTTCTTTACTCAACCTTATTGGAAAAAATTCTGGTTTTAGTCATTCTTGGGTTGATGAACATCATTATCTGTATTGTTAGAAAACTTTCTTATGTGGTTAGAAAGAAGCTAAACTGGGATATGTATTTTTGAAAGTAGCCCTCAGTTGAACCAAGGATGAGTGTTATTACTACTTACCAGCTGGAACCATGCACATTAGTCAAATTAATTACTTTGATAGTGTCTTGATAAGCCAGTACACGTTGCTTGTTTGACATTTGAATTTTTATTATCACAGATTTTACAGGACAGAAGTGATGAGTCTTGCTTGTATTGTGTTCTCTGAGTTGGGTTGTTTAATCGTGAAGCTTTCGTCGAGCAAGACGATGAAAGCTTCACGATTAAACAACCCTGCTCAGAGAACACAATACAACCAAAACCATCCACCTGAGCTACAAATATTCTCCACTATTTCAGAAGTGATGAGTGTTTGTTAGCACAATGAACCCTTTGTACAAATCCATCGATGTTCTAATAAAAATCATAACTCGGTGAACAAGCTTTAGTTATCTGACTCACTGACCTGATCGATAATGCTTCCCTATTTCGAAGCAACAGGGATTGATTTTCTGTTACAATGGGACACGAATACTGGTATGCAGATAGATTTAGCTGACTAGTTTTAAATCGAACAAAATTCACGTCATTACCAAAAGATGTAAGCGGTGTGAGCAAAGGTAAAACGTTCACAAGCAGACAGAGGCTGATCAGTTCTGTTGTGTAAGTTATCAATTGAAGTGACTGAAAATTCTAACTGGAAGTTAAGGTTACAGTTCGCACTAAATTATTCCTAGTCACAAAACTGTTAGTGATTATGGGAAAAGTAGGTGTGACAAATTGAATACATGTTAAATTACAGTCTATATGGCGACATTTTAAGTCACTTCTAAGCAGTAAGTCCTTTGAAGTGACCTCAAACACTAAGTATTCTTATTAGATGATTCACTAAAGCTAAAGATGCAAATTATTTTCAGGTTATTCGTTTAATGTACTGGAATGTATAGGGGCTTTTGGTGTTTTCGCACTCAACTGAAACTCATTATAAAAGGTGTTTAAATATGAATGCAAGTGGCCTTGATAATAAATGATTTCAAGTGATTCGATAAAAGCAGGGGATAAACTATCATTTTTATCCATCGACAAACACTAGGAAATGGTAATAAAGTAGAAGTTAAAATAACCTTATAGGTTCTGCTTACGAGTAATCAAGAATGACTACTTGAATTTATCCAGGCTCTGGACATCTGTAAGTTTAAAGCCTCCTTATGTATTCAAGAACAATTTATACTCATTTTGAACCTATCTTGGTAGTAACGACCTGAGTTAACACACTACAGGTAATATGATTCTGCTCTATACCCTTAATTCTGCCTAACTTTTGCCTGATATTTGCCTGTAACCTTAAAGTAACTTTATTATTGTTATTTTTGCAATCTCTTGCAGCAGACGACTTTAAAGGCCACCCTAGCAACGATCAAAATATTCGGTTAGGTTTCTGCATTTCTGCTGAAAAGATAAATGTTCATGAAATAGAGTAGTTTAATTGGTTATTTCGGCTGTTTGCTAGGGTGACGTATGAAATTACTTCTTGGCGCCTTAACTAGCTTTTGTTTCCCACTGCCTCTGAAGGCTAAACTTTAATTGGTTGTTAACCCTTTTAACTTATCAGAGGATTTAATGTTTGTCAATGCGGTTTAGAATGTATACATTCAGCATCACACTCAACTGTATTGGCTTGTTGAGACAATAAAAAGCTCTCTGTCAGCGGTTTGTCGTCTTCTTTCCTTGTTTTTACATGGCACTGGTATTGTTTCGTTGGTTAGCGTTCTGATTAGCGATTACAGTAGATTCTTTACTCATTAGGTTTGTATCGCTCGTCGACTAAGTCGCATTACCTATTATACCAGACTCATGCGTGTTTTTGTTTCGCCATTATTACTCTTCCCACTGACCTAAGTGATTTTGTAGACTTTTCATATCAATAATTCGAAGAGTTTATTTGTGATAGAATGGTTCGAAGTGTATAGCACTGATGCAGTACATACTTTAGATAAACTGTCTTCTCATTATGCCGCCTGAATGCACCAAAGGAAGTACTTGAAAGTAAACCTTCTGCAGCACACTGTTATAAGGTACATTGAATGGTTACTAGAAGAGTAAGCAGATATATGCTGTCTAGTTCTGAGTACTGACCAAATTCTATCTATCATTTTGTAATGTAGCCAGCCAGCTAGAAGGGTTACTAATGTAGTTCACACTGTTAAAAGTTCACAGTGATTGTTTAACCTTAGGCGTAAAATCTTGTGAATGAGTAAAGTTGGTAACCCATAAATCTTACATTTCTAATCATACGTTTCCCGAACGATTTTTTACAAACTGAACGTCACTATAAATTACAGCCAAATGTTCCAAATCTTGTTTGAATTTGTAGATCTTAAGTAAAAAGATGTTATGAAGAACTTATCAAATTAATTGAACTTCATATGAATGCAACAATCGTAGTGTTAGGCATTTCTTCAGTTCATTACAATAATCTAAGTGGATAACCAATTTACCATTTGCTTAGTTATCTGTTCTTGAGCATGAAAAAATTTCGCTTCCGTTAAATTATCCCGTTCCTCAAACACAAATTCCAATCTGTTGACTAATGTTTTATCTACAATCTATGTCGTCAACTAATCTCACTTGTCACAACATCTTAATACATTCAGAAATGGCTAAAAGCTGTCAATATATTTCTCTCATGAGTGTCATAATATTGATCTAAGGAAAGAAAGCGTTTTGACGTGTCAGCAGTTCAAAGTACTGAAAAAATTACGAAAAAACCTTGACTCTATTATGTTTCAACCAGATAAAGTAATGTAGTTGTTATGAATAGATTCATTTGCAGAAGCAATATATAATCCATTCTTAGTGATGACAGCATGCTTATCCAAGACATCTCCTATAAGAAAGTAGATAAATTGTTAGGGAGGACAAGCTTTAACCTGGCGAAGATGCTCCATATGAATATGATTAATCAAGATGAATTTATTGTCGAAAACTTATGGGTTTTGAACGTCTATATTGTCTATCCAGTGAGTTCAATATTGTCTGTGTGTCATTCACCAGCATGTAGCAAAGTGATCGAGAAAACTCTTAAATCACCATAGGTAACTACCCGAAACTTTAAGATTCTACTCAAGTTATACTATATACCTGTTTGTCGGAGGTATTTGAGTGTTTACTCTACATAAATCTGAGGAAAATGTCTTCGCCCTGAGTGCTCAGACACTTAGTTGCTGAGAAAATGAAAACAGTAACCTGTACATAAAAGAGGATGAAAAAATGATTAGTTTCGATGTAACAGGTTTGTATACTAAAATACCAATCAATACGGCACTGGCGGCAGTCAGAAGTCAACTAAATATTGACTCAGAATTTACTCATATTATTAAGATATAGGCTAATGAGATCGTATCAGGCGTCTGGTTGTGCCTGACCTCCACAGTATTCAAGTTTCAAAACAAAATATACAGACAAACAAAAGGAGTAGCAATGGGATCACCAATATCTCCGATCGTAGCAGATATATTTATGGATAGTTGGGAAAATATAGCTTTACAAACGTTTACTCCTGCACCAAAAAAATGGTGGCGATATGTGGATGACACATTTATTATGCTGAAATCAAAACATATCGACAATTTCCAAACACATATAAACTCAGTGATAGGCGCAAACCAATTCACTTACGAGGTAGAAAATGAATAAGGAAAATTACCTGTGTTGGATTGCAGGACAAAACGAAGGACAGATGGTGGTTTGGATACTACCGTCTACAGAAAACCGACACATCCCAGCAGGTATCTAGACTTCAAGTCATCCCATCTAATGTCAGTTAAGGCAGGCTTAGTCAAATGTCTAAATGATAGAGCTAGAAAACTAACTAAACAGAGCAAGAACCTAAACATGGAATTGAAACACGTAAAAGAAGTGATAATAGTTAATAATTATCCTCCACAGTTTATTCAGAAATTTCTGACAAACACACAAAAAACGAAAAAATAACAGTCATACGAGTACGAATAATAACGAAAACACGAGTAAAAATGAATTCACAGCCACTATGTTACCCTATAGGGAAGGAACATCAGAAACTTTACCTAGGATCCTCAACAAAGCTGGAACTAGGATGCATTGAAACCTTCAGGCACTCTTGCAGAGATAAGCTTTACCGGCTTAAGGATCCAACAGAACCAATTGAGCAAAGTAATCTAATCTATCAAATTGCATGTAATGACTGTTAAGTCAAGTATATAGGTCAACCTACTCGGTGGAGGTCAGTCAGAATAGCCTAACATAGGAATTTAGCTAAATATAGAATGACAGACCCCAATAACATCAATAATCTAGAAAAAAAATACTCGCCTATTGCAATGCATGCATTAACGCACAACCACATAATAGGCTGGCACAAAGCCACTGTACTTAAGTCAAATATAATTAGGTGGAAACAGAGAGAGATTGATTACTGAATCTTTCTTCATCGAATCAACACACAACACATGTAACGGAAATGACGCAACATATATACCAGAGATATGTAAAATTTTACTACCAATGAAAACAACTCATATAAGGTGACTTAACTATAGAAATCGAATGTCGAGAGTAGTGTGATTGCACTGATATGATGATGAGCAATAATTTATACTCGAAACGTCAACAACTAAATAATACTGTATCAGAGTGTGTTATAAATCAAATAAACAAATCTAACGTGGAAAACAAAACAACTATGCCAATAGAGTTAAAAAGTATCTGTTAACTGAATTGATTTATCTCTTTGCTAACCAACAGTTTACAATACGTGTATCTTTAAAGTGATATTCACGTTTTGTTTTCTACCTTCAATAGTTAAACAAACAAAAAGTTATACAATAAACTTGAATGCTTTGAAAGTTTTTCTCTGTTTGTGGTGTTCTAAAAGAAATTTTGCTCATGGATTTAAATATTTTTTATGACAAGAAGATCAAATCGAAGGTGGTAAGTAACCTACTAATAGACAAATCAGTTTTGTTTTTTATGATGATTTACTTGGTTGTGGATAGAAGAAGAATCCAGAAGGCATGTTTCGTTCTGTTTGGGAACAACATCACTCACTTGGGTGCAGGTACATCCAACTGACAAGTCCTAAATAGGATTAGACGCACGTCGTGGATTCCTGTGGTAACCAAAACCAACTAAATTACTATAATTAACACTCAAGTAATATCGAGGCATCGGCATAGAAGCTCGTATAATAATAGAGGTAGAACAGTTTGATCCAGTGTAAAAACAGAGGACTACAAGTATATCAATAAGTAGTTATAACATTTTATTTCTATTGATAACAAATCAAAAACTTTCTAAAACGTGATTTTCCAGAGACAGTCAGGTTATGTGTGCTTATACTTTACTTGTCTCAGAATTTGTATCATTTCAAAGGCACCTCTAACCGAAGATTCAAAGCTGATGAAAATGGTGAGCTAATTTAACATTGTGGGGACCTATAGTATATGAGTGTCAAAAAGCTTGAGATACTATTTGTTAAGTGGCAATACGTAATAGCTGTTTCATTCTTTTCTCATAATTCTTAAACTGTTAACACTTAACAATGAAAACTAAGTCTACAATGATCTTTCAAGTCAGATGGAAAGAAAAAACGCTTTTCTTCATGTACCATATCAAATTAAAATAGAAGTGAACAATTAGAAGGATAGAAATCAGGAATCATTACCTGAAAATAGACTTGCCATGGAATACCACCAAAATCAACATCAACAAATTATCGGTGTAATAAAATGAATCCATTCGATCAACACTACCTTTCCATTTATCCCAAGTTTGCGTAATTGGAACTGTTGCATCATTTATCATTGCAAATGGTAAAGAAATCCACTAGAATAATAAAATTTAAAACAGTATCAAAATATGACTGAAAAGAATAAAATACTACCTGAAGGTTTGTGGAGATTTATTAATTAATTTTAGGTAGAAATTCATCATCATGGACTGACATCAGTTGAAGGAACATTGGAAACCTGGAGGCATTGGACAGCCGTTTCATCCAAGTATGGGGTTGTGAGTGTAAGCTCCTGAGGAGTCTTATACAAGAACGAAACAGCAGTCCAGTGCTCCAGGTTTCCAGTGTCCTTCCAAGTGATGTCAGTCTATGATAAATTGCAACCTAAAAACAAAATATATGAAAAGTAATTTACACTCATTAGGAGAACATGAATTGGAATTATTATTATTTGTCCCATGGGTTCCTAGGGAAACATAGGGCTTCAGTAGCACGTCTCCATCCCACTCTCTTCTCTGCAATCATTTGAACCTGGCGCTACCACTTTCTAGAAGCTCTCATTTCTTCCTCATATGATCTCTTCCATGTCACCCTCACCTCGGACGCCCAACTAGTCGTTTCCCATTTGGGTTCCACCCGGGGGTCTGGCCTGGAGCATGATGTTCCCGAATGGTCTTCTCAGTGTATGCCCAATCCATCTCCACTTTCTGCATATTTGTTGAGCGATAGGTTCTTGGTTAGTTCGTTGCTAGGGCGGAGTTCCTTGTTGCTTACTCTCGCTATTCTGTCCATCTGAGCTCCAGTAACGAGTGAGCGTAGGCAGTTGTTGATGAATGTCTGTAGTTTGTTGGGAATGCATTTCGCAATCCGCCAAGTCTCTGCACCACATAGAAGTACTGACTTGACATTGATGTTGAAAATTCGGATCTTGTTCTTTATGCTGAGTGCAGAAGATCTCCACACTGGTTTTAGGTTAATGAAAACCCGTCTTGATTTTCCGATCCTTACTTTGCCGTCCTCATCTGTGCCGCCGCCTGCAATTGAAACGATACTGCTTAGGTAGGTAGGTGAAAGAGGCTACTTCCTTTAAGTTTCTTCTTTTGATGGTGATCGGATCTTGTTGTTGTTATTGGTTGGGTATCTTCATCACCTCTAACTTTTCTACGTTCACTTGAAGTCCTGTCTTCGCTGCCCTGTCTCTTCTGTCAATTTGTTAGTTTTTGCCTGTAGATCTTCAAGTTTGTGTGACATTAGACAGTGACTGGAAATGGTAATTATTTAATAATGGTTGGTATCAAAGTTATTATTAGAGACTATATAGGGAATACCACTATTGAATGACAACATATGCTCCAAATAAACAAGAGATGAATATTAATTGTTTTGTGGACGACAATTTTAGGCTTGAAGTGATGGATGTTAGATTAAATATTTATTAGGAACTTCAACTTTCATACAAATTCATCCAGCTGACATGGATTGAATGACGTGAAAAGTACGCTTAAAGAGCCTCAGATATTAACCGTAAAATAAATGAAATCTAAATAAAACTGAGGTCAATACAGAGTCATCTATTAAGGAAACCGTTACACCAAAATAGATCAGTCATTTGCATCCGAAAACAATTGGAAATACGTAAGTACAGAATACTCAGTGAAGCATTCGACTGGAGAAGGTAATTTCTCAAGTGTTGAAATTGTGCAGTTTATGCTTTGGAAAGAATTCAATTAGTTAATTTTCTTTACTTTACTCATTATTGTCACTTGTTCGGTGTAGTAACCAAATGAATCTTGTCAAATGGCCATCGATCATTTCTCAACTGATAGTTTCAAATCCAAGCTACCTGTTTTATCCTAACAAACCATATGATAGGTAATTGGCATCAAAAACAATCGACATGCTGTAATCATCTTATGTCCATAATCTATGCTTACTTGAAGACCAAATGTAAATTTAAGGATGGCTTAGGTGATTATAATCTCAGAAAAGAACAAAAGTAAGTAAATACTAAAAGTTAATACTATTTTCCTTGAACATATCCTGACTAACAATGAACTGGATAGTTTGAAAAAGCTTGGGCACCGAATTAGTATCATTCATCGTATAAGATATATTTTACCTATGTAATCTCAGGCGTAGTATATCAGAATAAATAACAAAATATGGATTACAGCCGGATTCGAACCAACAACTACTGACCACTGTTCAGATTTTCATTTAACCTTCAATCATCACCCAGTATCAAAACTAGTCTGCCAAACCACGGGTATCTCAGATAGTCAAAAATGAAAATAACAAAATAAACAAATATTTTTTAATATTCTTCAATATTTCGATTTTGCTAGCAGCATCCTTTTCAAGAGTATAGCATCTGACATTAAGTTTTCAGGGTAATATTCAAATTTTGATATGGGCGACCTTTACTATCATCCAATTACAAAGGAAAAGAGATCAATATAATGTAGGTGAGTGAAGTAGGAAATTGGCCAACTAGGCTTTTTCCAGTTGTGAAACAAAAATAGTAGAATTAAAGTTCGACGTTAAAATGAAATTATTATATTTCTGGCGTGATTCAAAAGAATAGGAGAAATAACTTCGGAAACTATTCAAGCATGAACGAATTCTGAGTAAATCATGTGGAATATGATGAAACGAAGTTGTATTCTATCTTCTCTTCGTATATTATATGCAACTGTCTATGCCAGTCATTAATGTCTGCTATATTTGTTGGATGTCTAACCCATCTTTTCTGTTGAAGGAAGAAGGGTACAAATAGATAACCAAAGCTTCTGTAACGACCACCTCTTTGTGAGAAAGAAAACCCCTTTGCAATACGTTTGCCTTCTTGAATGATATTTTATGACCTGAATGAGCTGCGATGGTAGAGCTTTATTTCAAGTTTTTCCATATCATAGGAATCTTTCGGTGGTCTCTTCGATAGTGTTCGGTAAGACGTGTTAGTACTTTACGTGATGTCTTTGAAGTGTATGTGGCATCGCACTCACTTTAGTCTACCTTATGAACATAGTTCTTTTGTTACAAATGGGGAATCGGGTCTTTTAATTTACACAGGTGTATGTTATGTGTTCTTTACCTTAAAGAATACTCCGATGCTGTAACTACTATGGATGCGTCATACTTCTGATGTGGATGTTCTATAAGGAAGTACTGTAGTACTTATTCAATCTTTACAGCTTGGTTTTTCCGTGTCTTACACAAGTATTACACAAGGAAAAATACACTTTATGTGATGCACGTTTTTCTTTTTTAAATTTTTATACATATTGTATCAACATAAAATGAGGCAGTTGGATGTAGTAACTTGGTGTATTCAAAGTTAAATATAAAGCACATCATAAATGAGGTGTGAGATTACAGATTATATTAGTTAGACCCCAGTTAGATTGGTTACTTCTTCACTTTCATGCAATATAAATGGCGTGCAGGTAACGATTTCTGCATGTTATCAGCTTTTCACCTAAACATCCTATGTTTAATTCTTTTTTCTACAAGAAATCTGTTTATCCCCAGAGAGGACAAACAACTACACCACGTTATTATATGAAAGGTAAACAAAACACCAGTATAACAAAATAAAATTGGTGTCAAATTTAGTTAGGTAAACAAGTTATAACTAATAAATCTGTTAGTATGAAAGATAATGGTTGGCATAAAAAAGGTATCAAAAATTCCATTCACTGCCACATTATTATAGTGAATTCAATTCCATAAGGAAAAAAGTCTTTCATTTGTCCAGAGGATGATCATATCTAGATAGTTAATGTTGTTATTGGTAATGTAGTGATCAAGGAGTGTAGGGCATTTGAAAAATAAATTGATACAACACTAAAGTGCATTGTAGTTAGTGTTGGACTTAGTTTAAAGATTCGACAACAGACTCTAGAATTATATTTTACGGTATTTATTACTCAGTAGAGAGGTAAGTGTAGATACTAGACAGAGGAAACGTAAATCTGTGTTGTCACTTCAGGCAATCAAGTAACCTATGGATTATGTGAATTCTAGTTGTAAATGGTGTATAAGATTTGCAAAAAATTCAGGCAATCGGAACAAACGGACACCAATGCAAACACCTAAATTACTTATAATTTATTAATTGTCCTTTGGGCTACCAGTGGAACATAGGGCATCAGTAACATGTCGCCATTGCACTCCCCTCTCTGCGGTCTTTCCAGCCTAGCTCCACCACTCCCCACAAGCTTTCATGTCTTCCTCACACCAGCTCCTTCATGTCACCCTCGCCTCGGACTCCCAACTTGTCGTTTCCCCTTTGGGTTCCACTCGACGGCCCGGCCTGACCTGACCTGGCACGTGATGTCCCCAAATGGCTTTCTCAGTGTGTGTCTAATCCAACCCATCTTCACTTTCTCCTACTGCATATTTGTTGGGAGGCGGTTTGTTGGTTGCCAGCCAGCCAGCCAGCCAGCCAGCCAGCCAGCCAGCCAGCCAGCCAGCCAGCCAGCCAGCCAGCCAGCCAGCCAGCCAGCCAGCCAGCCAGCCAGCCAGCCAGCCAGCCAGCCAGCCAGCCAGCCAGCCAGCCAGCCAGCCAGCCAGCCAGCCAGCCAGCCAGCCAGCCAGCCAGCCAGCCAGCCAGCCAGCCAGCCAGCCAGCCAGCCAGCCAGCCAGCCAGCCAGCCAGCCAGTCAGCCAGCCAGCCAGCCAGTTTCTTCTTGCTTATTCTTATTATTCTGGCCATCTGATCACCACTTTCAGTATGGAGTGGGCGTAGGCGGCAGCTGTTGATGATATATGTCTGTAGTTTGTTGGAAACGCCTTTCTTAGCACGCCAAGTCTCTCAACCATCACGAGGAAGCACTGACTTGACTGACATTAGTGTAGAAAATCCGGATCTTGTTCATGCTTTATGTCGAGTGCAGTGGAGTGCGGAAGGTCTCCACACTGATTATTTCGGATTAATGAAGGCCTGTTTCGCTATCTTTCTGATCGTGGCTTTGACGTCCTCATCTGTTCCTGTGCCGCCTGTGGTTGAAACGATGCTGCCTAGGAAATTAGGTGAAGGAGATTGCTTCCCTTAGATTTCTCCCGTTGATGGTGATTGGTGCTTGTTGTCGTTGTTGGTTGGGTATCTTCATCACCTCCGTCTTTTCTACTTTCATTTGAAGTCCCATCTTCCTTCCTTGCCTCTTCTGTTAGGAGTTTTCTGAAGTGGTCAATCCATCGTTTCCTTTGTTTCTTCTCTTTGGTAACTATGTTTTTTTCACTAACTTTCATTGGTTCCATCTGTGTTGACCTCTCCCCTCCCAGATAGTAACCTGGTTATTTGATACAATGTTGTCAGGTCTCTATCTCTCCTGCCTGCAGGCTGTTCTGCTTCACTTGCCAGTGTGTCGTAGAAGTGTCTTTTGTCTTAGAACGCACTCTTCATCACTTCTTTTTCCAGTGTAGTGTTTTATAGGTAGTATTCAGTTCCTCTTCTCATTGTTCATCCCTACACTGCACTTCACTGGTTCATCTTCTGCTTTACCATCTTCCCCTCACTCTTCTGTCACCTTCCATGTGTCCGTTGCGATTTATTCCAGTCCCTGTCTTCTTTTTTCTTCCTACCTAACACGGTTACGCAGCTTTCCTTCCAGGTGTCTTTCACAGAGTTCTAGTGTTCTTCCACCCAGGTTTTCTTGGAGATGTTGCCTAATATGATGTGAAGATATCCTTTGAAGTTTCTTCCTTAAGCTCAGTTTCTTTTCTGGGTGTTGAACTTGAACTGTGACCTATCACCAACTTCTGTGAAGATTTTCAACTTGATTTTGAAGGTATTTTTCTTGCAGTAGACAGTGAGTGGTCTGAACCTGTATCTGCTACCCTTCTTGACCTGATCTTGTGTCCAGTATGCTGTGTCTCCACTTTCTTGAGATTGAAATGAAGTCGATTTGATTTTCAGTGTAGTGTGTCCATCTCATGAAATCCATGTCACTCGTTTTGTGAGTATCTCTATGTTTGTGTATAATGACTCCAATCATTGAGTCGCTGAAAGCGCAGAAGTCTGCAAAGTTCTCCATTCTCATTCCTCGTTTCACTGAGTGCTTCTCGACCTATGATTGGTTCTCGTCCTGTGTTGTCTGCTCCCAGTTTATCATTCATGCCACCCATTAGAATTTTGATGTTGCCATCTGGGGTGGGGTCTTGTCCATTGATGATTGCAGTTGTTTGTAGAATTCCTCCTTCTTCTCTTGATCTGCATTATTTGTAGGTGCGTGATAGCCACTTCGAAAAGCAGTATGCTCACGATTGTCGTCTGGGTGACGATTTCAGAGTAGATTACTGACTCTCCAGTTGACAGTTTAGACGGTCCTCTGCCATTCCATCTGCTTTCGGAGATTCATACCAATTGTATTCCATCTCCTCTCACTTCGTTTGCAACGTGGGCAGACCTAAACTACTGCAATGTAAGAAACTGATTATTGAGTGGTGAAGTGAAGTGAAACAATGTCTACATGAAGTGAATACCACCTCATCAGACGACTTTATATCCTATATGTTTGATTTGTTGCATCTGATCCTGTAAATATTGCATGTTTAATTCCGAGGTTTTTAGAGATCTATTGATTTCACCGAGATGTTGATCATAGATATAGTGCAGCCTTCATCCAGTGCCGTCGCTGAAGTTTCTGTCCGCGAAAGTCGTGTGAGTTTGTTGATTAGTCTCCAAGTGTGAAGACCGTATGTTTCACTAATATAAGAGTAAAACTTGTGCACTGTGGTAGAATATAATTCCATTTTTACTGATTTATTAAATTTGTCACAGTGTAACAGTATTGTTTAACTGGATTACGTTTGGGATGATATCATTTCAATATCTGCTTTCTGCAACTCAAATTGTTCAATAACTTAAATGTTATTAAATGAATAAGCACACATAGTGAAGTGGTGTTAATCTGTTGATATATTCTGCAATACTTCAGTCGGTTTTCAGACAAGATCCGCTGTCTGTGATATAGCTGGCCAATTGTTTTCAGCTCATAGTCACATCGCTAGTAGTTTCAAAATGAAAGTGTCATACTAAAGGCACTTTTCTGGTATGACTAATCTGTTACACAAATAATGCGGCATACTTTCCAAACATTTCATTTATACATTACTTAGGGGATTATATTTAAGTAGAAGTGCATACACAACAGTTACTATATAGTATAGAGGAGAGAAGTTAGGCGGATGCATATTTTTACTAAGCGTTAACCAGAGTCAATTCTGAGTTGAAGTTTTTTCACAAAAGAGAAAACGGATACTTCAAGTGATTACATCAATCTGAAAAGTAGAATTTGTGTTGATTTGATTAGTCATAAACAAAAAGCTGAACTACAGTTTAATTTAAAAACAGTTTGGGTTGTTAACGACTGAAAAAAACGTCAGTTAGAGGTAAAGCGTGAAAAGGCTACACAGAGGATAATAACGAATAGCAACAAGTTGGGATGAAAATAAGTTGTGAGGCTCGAAGGTCAGTAAATGTTCACTAAAGGACAAATTATCACACCAGGTTTCTTCTTCTACTTATAGTTATTGTTTGATCGTTGCTTTTAGGAACGATTCGGCAATTAACAGCAAGTGAATTCTCACCTACTAAGGTCGGTCTTTTAGAGACTTACAAACCACTAAAATGGTGATTTTAAACTAGTATCAGTTAAGGGAAACCAGATGCAGTTACTACGTTATTTTTGATAGTTACACCAAAGAGATGTTGTCTAATAGCAGTGCGACTCTCTATACACTAAAGAACTTTCTTCAGTCACAACATACGTAGGTCAGTAGGCTGGGTGTCTTATTTTGGTACTTAGTATTGTTATGCTAATTACGAGTGGATTTAGTCAGTCAGACAGTGTCAGCCTGAGATCTAGCATTAATGCATAACAGTTCAGGTTGCTAAACCACGTATCAGACAACATATCAAGATAGGCGTCAAGGTGATAGAGAGACTTAGGTTAGGTAATATTCGCTCGGACGTATACCTCACTTCGAGCAAACTGCAGTCAGTGGGTGTGTAAACACGGATTACGAAGAGGAAACTGCAAGTTCCACCATTCCTTTTAGTTCTCACTGCACCCTCCATTCGAACAGTTTACAGGTAACTGTCAACTAAGATCCAGACATGCAGTGTACTTTCTGCCGTAGGACGTAATGTTGTATCCTCGCTTATAGGACCACAAAAGCTAATTTTCGAATCTTAGGAAATTGAAGTGTGACTTTCAGAGGTGTAGCATGTTGGCTTCATGAGGTTGGGTGAACAAATACATTTCAAATCTGCATACCTGGTTCACAAGCATCAACAATTTTCGCAGAATAAGATGTTAAAGTTTTGACTAGCGAAGATTGTTGTCTGTTTTAGTGGAGGATTAGGAGGTTCAAAGCTTCTATACTTAGTTTGTAGTGTGGTTATATGAGGCCAATAATGTTGTTACGTGGTCTGCATATTTATCAATGGCTGAAGAGCTGGGAGAAGTTTGAGGCGACTTCAGGATTCTAAACAGCAGATGTGAAGGGTTGGTAACAAGTAGAAGGAAGTTGAGTGTTGACACATTTACAAAAATGGTTGACGTTTCAAGACTATCCACACCATGGAAAGTTACGTTTTCCTGAGGTATCTGAAAAAGAAGGGTTAGTAACAGTGATATCTAACCTCAGAGATCAAGGGACATCTGCTTCGCCTTTATAAAAGTTTGTGGTTTTAGTTTATGTTTTTCAGTCTGTCTATATCCGAATCCAAGACCGAAGGGTATGGGAGGGAAGTGTACTATTTCTGTGGCCTAAGTTTTCTGGGCTCCTCTTCTCATAGAGTGGCACTGGTACTGAGTGCTGGTCATCCTCTGCATACACTTTACTGCCGTCAAGTATGACCACCATCATAGTGTAGCGGCCTACACTAGAACAATAACTGCTTTCTACTTTGTCTGGCATGGTAGAAGCGTATGGAACAAGTGTTTTCATCGGCATAGCTCGTCGCGTTACCACGATATGCGAGTCCGACCACCACGTTAGGGTTACAGCTATCAGTTGAGAATAACTTAAGATCATTTGCTAATTTATACAAACTTGTTACACATATATAGATAGTGTCGCCGGACATATGTCTGTATATTGCTGTTTAATAAAATACACTTAACCAAGCTTAAAACATTATACCACCGAACAGTTTGTAAGAGCTAAGGCGGATTCTTTTTCTCTGTAAAGGGCAGAAACAGGGTGACTGATGCTCCAATAATCTCATTGTTCAGTCAACAAGATGGATTCCATAAGCCAATGTTAAGTGGTGATCTCGTTGTGAAGACATCTGGATTCAAACTTTGATTAAATGTTAACCATGTTATTTCATCACTAGTTCCTTCTTCATTGGTTTTCAGTTTGGTAGGACGAGTAAAAATGATACTCTTAGAAATTCTCAACACAAATCACTTCAGGAGTCAATCAAATGAAGGCTGATAGGTTTTTAGGCATGAAACATTGTTTACTACATTCAATCCTACATTTGATCGATCATTCTGAAATGAGTGAAAACATATGTTATAGATCTTACTTTTAGGTAAAAATATAGTGATCATTTCAACCTACTGGGCTGTCTTCATAATCTTCTATATAAATCGGTCATTCTTTGACCACTAAGGACCATAGGGCATTGATCAACATTACAGTTCCAAACCTTTATAATTTATGGTGAACATATTTTTTTCGCAGGTGCAGAATACGTGAAAATCTGTTTCTTACATAGTTATCTAAAAGATGGAATTTATTGGTCATATGAATCCTATTGTCTGAATGGTGAGGATATCCTAAGTTGCAAAATAAAAGATAAGAGTCCCAGGAAATGAGCTAATTTCAGGTGTACACTCTCTAAAATGCTGCGATTGGGATGATGCATTTATTCAAGCCGTTATCACTTTTACTCTAGAAAAACACTATTTAATTCAAAGTGAAAAAGGTAAAAACTTACCAGACCAAAAAATATGCAGAATAATTGAACAACATCTGTGTATGCCACGGAGTACAGTCCACCAAATAGCGTGTAAACGAGTGCAATACAAGCTGATAGGATAATTGATGCTGTCTGATTTAAATCCACAATAACACCAAGTGTAGCACCTTGTATAAGAGAAAAGAACAAGATTAAATCTACAGAAAACTTTTAAGTCTGTTGGAAAAATTTGTCGAAGAGGTGGATATGAAGTAGCTCGATTAACTTGTGTGAGAATCTTGAATAGTCTTGAGTATTATCTCAATCACAACGCTATTTATGCCTTCGATTGTCATCGAATGTTTTTAGAAATGGAGTACTGAATGATTAATCAGCAAGTTATTCACGAATTGTACAGTTCATGTTGACATTACTCACAGCTGGGTAGTCTTTCAACTGCCTAACTTTAGTTTTACGATTGTTTCCGTTTCAAGATCACAAGGTGTGGTCTCTGACACAAAAGTATAGTGGACTAACGAAGTGTATCATTCAAAAACATGAGGAGTTAGAAGCCACTCATGCTGGCTTGTAGATTTATCGAGTTAGATAAGAGGGATCTAAATACCGGACACAGGTGGCGCTGTATTGGAAGCGATTCCATCATCAGTGTACATAGATAAATCGACCTTACACAGCCACGTCATTCATACTAACTGAATCTGGCTAACGAAATCTAAAAATCAGATTGGTTAGTTTTTATACCCATGAAAGGCAATAGTATATATGATAGAAACAAAGTAAGATTGTTATAAAGATGAAAAGTAGTCAAAAGAAGTGGGTAAGTAGGTAGATACTTTTGTATCTACTATTGTACAGCAAAGGATAGACATGTGATTGAGGTCAAATAAAAGATGTTGTGAATGGGTAACGAACTGAGGTGAATAAATGATTTCACTTATGTAGAAATGGATTCTTTTTGGTATTAACTGTCACACTAGTGTATAAAAAGCTCACAATAGTTGAAAATTAATGGGAACGTCTTCTCGGATTTGTTGTTTTGAATAGTATTTTGATAACGTAGTTACATATAATGTTGCAGTAGTGCAGTGTGTGAAACACATTCCTAAGACCTGTACTACGTTTTGAAGAGAAATGGAACTGGTACACTTGAATTAGCAGCGACATCATTATCAGTTTTGTTTAAAGAAAATGAGTTAATTTATATTTATCAGTGTTCGTCTTGTATCATTAGTTTCATGCCGCTGATTGACTGACAAAGTAGCTTGGGAAAATAAACAATTTAGAGACAGTGGTTAGCGTGAATATCCATGCTTTAGATGTAGAAGAGTGAATACAACTGTACCATTTTCACAGATTTTCAACCATATCACAAAGAGCCCTTAACCACTGGCTCCTTTCGTCTCGGGGACCCGAACCAAGTAGTCTACACCTCCATACCTGGCTCAGACAAACTGTCAGAGACTTCACACACTGGTGCCATGCATTGTTTTGGCCACCCTATACCATATTCCAACCGGATTCTTCTTCCGCTAGCATGGAACGGTGAGTTAGGTGACGTGTAAGCATGGGCAGTATATTCTGAAGCCATCTCAGTCGACTTGTTTATCTTGCCTAATACCCTTCGCCTGACCTCACTACTGCTCACTTGATGATCACGTCAGTCGTGAGCAATGAAATAAATACATCTGCAATCCACACACTGACATACAGATGAATTGCCCTATGAGATGATGGAGTATATTTATAGTTCAGGAGAATAACTTAGGTGGCGTTTTTTTTCTCTAAACTGGGTTATTTTATCGTAAACCTTCCGTTGTCATTCTAGACAACATCATCATCGTCATTACCATCGCAAACTTCGGGAAGAAGATAAGTTAGTTTGTTTGAATAACTTATAAGTAAGTAGGTCAGCGACAGTGGGAGTTGTAGTTCTCAAACAATGCCTTTTGAGACAAGATACGTTCCTGTTAAGGAAATTCATATTTAGGGTAATTCAAAATAAAAATATTGGATCTTCTACCCTAAAGAATGGTAATCAGTCGACCGTATTCACTGCTTATGTTTTCAGATTTTTCGCTGTATACTATTGATATACATTCTTGAAGTGACCAGGAGGAAGTAACTGACAGAATTATACAAAATAGGAAAACACTACTAACGCAGTGAGATACTTGGTCTGAATGTGAATAGCGACTGTTCTCCTTCAGACCTGAAACTTCCCTGAGATGTGGAAACCAGAATACAAAGACTGGCTTGTAACTGTAAGGAAGACACTTTATCTGACGAAAGACACATCATTTATATAGAGTTTTCCTCGGAATATAATGCCACTAGGTTGGGATTTGGAGACTTATTTTCATTAGTCAGCTGTAGGACAAAGTTGTCCAATAACCTTTTCCTGTACACACAGTAACATGAAACGAGGTTGAAATCCAAAATTTCTGTCTTAGTGGCTTATGTTTTAGGATACTGATTTCAACTTAGGCCGCTTCCTATCGATTCACAAGAGAAGTTTTCAGCGATAAGTCTTTTACGTGTTTATTTTGCCATCTCACTGACTGCTTTTGTTAACTGAGTATAAACTCGTTTTGGATGTAGATGACTTATCACACAACTTTTACCATTAACAACATTGTCAGCGAAAATAGCAATATTATGTCAAACTATTGAGTTACCTACCAAGAGCAGACAATATAGCAGCGGTCCAGAACACTTCACCAAGTAGTGCTGGTATGAAAAGTAGGCCACACATACGTTCACCATATTTATGTTGAAATGGATCCAGCATAGTGACATAACCCAAAGTACGCATTCGGTTAGCAAAAAATAACCCACCTTTTATAAACAAAAAATTAATCGAAATGTAAGAAAAAGTAGTGTTTTTAAGAAAACCACCACATAAAATTCACATAAAAATATGCCCAACGCTTAGCTAAGCCAAATGTGTTGGAAGATGATTGTGTAGGCAGTCCTAATTACAGAAAGAAATATCACGCATTTAGATTATAGATGTAAATAATGACTTAAAGGTTATGTGCAGGCCATGTTCCACTATCTGTATTTTGGTTACGCAGTCAACCGCTCACAGCCGCATTTATATTCAGTCGTTATTTTACTTTGATTGTAGTTGATGTTGATCGCGCACCCATGTGACGAACTCACTATAATTTGAAGACTGCATAGACTAAGATACAAAATTGTTACTGTCCGAGTTTTCATCAGTGACAATGAGATTAGTATTCACTGCATAGCATATGCTAACAAGCACTCATGGTTTGGGAAGAGAAATTCGCAGAAAGCCATAAATGACTACTGTTATGTAATCAGTAAGTTTTTCATGATTAACCCTTATGCAATCATAAGTGACAGTCTATTGAAACGTTTTTTAATTCATCAGTAAACTGAATGAAAAAAAATGAAGGTTGCTGTTGAGTGTCGGCAAGTTCAAGAAAATATATCTAACCTCTATCCTTTTTTGTATTGTATGCAAACGTCAAACAAGCATTTAAGTTGACTTTGGATCTTCTCATTTAGTTAAAGTCAGAACCAGTACATTTAGTAACAGTGCAGTGAATACATACTTTGTGATTCACAATCATGTTCACTACAGATTACAATATATCATATCTTATTTCTCATGTACTCATAAAATTTGACCTTTATCCTGTGCTATCGTGGTGGAAATTAATCACTTGTGACCTTCAGATGAAAAAGGAAGTAATAAATAATGTTTGAAAGAGGAATCTTTACGTTAGAAACCTTACTATAATTAGGAAAGAAGGATGCATGTGACTATGACTCAAGTAGTGCTTTTTAAACTTTTAACAACCAGTGTACATTACAAAAGGTGACTTTTGGTGACAATACTTAGAGTTTTTGAAGATGTCAAGAAGTGGAACATTCCAGTTATTCTGGCTGATTTTCAACCGTGTTACCAACAGTTTCCAACCATTTTCTTCTTTTATCTGGAGGATTCAAGCCAGGTAGCCTATACATTCCTGTATAGCTCTGACTGAGAATCCTACTTTATAAACTGACGCACTTCTTTGTCTGATTACCTTTATCCTTCTTCCAACCCGTTCGTGTTTAGGCGATGGTTAAGCATTCGGAGCTGAATTTCATCGACTGACTTGGCTTTCTTGCCTATTACTCCACGCCTAACTGCAACATCACTCACTTGTGCTTCCTACACATATGGGTAATTTAACGAAGAAAACTATAGCTAAAAACTTGTAATCCCTAAATATCTACTTTCAACCGCTGTCTCACAGCCGTTTATAAAGAGATAGAGCGGACTACAGCGCAATGTACTAGTATCCTGGTATTTAGTTGGATATCTTGTCGGCACCAGTTATGACGTAAGCCAACAAATGTCAAACGAGCCTTCTGCATCTAAGTTAAGATTTCGTCAGAAACCGATCCTACCAAGTTAATACAACTTCTCAACTAGGTAAAGTGGTAAATGAATTCTATTAATTCACTCCTAATTCTTAATATAAGAACTGATAAGATTGGTCTTGATAAGTCATACATCCGACAAGTGCAAAATGCATGCTCAGATTTCCATTCAAGGAGTTCAAGAAACCTTGTGCTTTGGCAATATCTTCATCTTACAGGACAGTGTCATTTACGTACTCCAAGCCAACCACGTGCCTATCACGGAATAATCTGTTTCCTATAAAGTTGGACGTATTTGGGTTTAAGCCCATTTACATGTAGTAAAGGTCAGTTATTTGTTAAGAACCAATCTTTGGTTTGGATAAAAATCTAACTAATTGGAATATGAGCAAAGTTGGAAACAAAGTGTTATTTACCATTTCGGTTGCTTCTGATTTTTAAAAAAGTACTCACTTCAGAAGTATTCAGCTGATCTTCAATGGATGTACAACCGAGTGGTTTACTAGCAGCATAAATATTTAGAACAATAAGGAAGCGACCCATACTGTATGCCACTATCACGTGGACTGTAAATATGTATTGAAAAAACAGCTTTTGAAATTAAGACTGGAGACTCGATCACAACCTTGTTGTGAGAATGTAAAGTTTGATAACTTGAACTGTTTTACAGCTAAAACCAGACCCTTTTATAGTATTGATTAACCTATTCACAACCTTAGAATGGTAGGGTCTTACATACAGTACTCGGGTAAACAAAAGTTCAAAGTTTGAATTTTATACATACAACATTAGCTACTGCAATGACTTCAAGTTTAAGATATGGTAATTTCTGAATACTGAACCATTTCCATACAGGAGAAAGCTTCATAAAATACAATACAGGTTAATATGCTGAACATTCACTCACCAACTATAAGGCTGACAGCATAGCCAAGAGGGGCTTGACACCATACAAGACCTTGAGATGGATTGTACGTATTCTCAGCTGTTCCATTGATGTAACCACCACCTACCCAAGTAGCTGTTGAAGAATAATAAAAGCGAAATAATTAGCTGTTAGAAAAAAATAATGAATATCGATAATTACCATTTATGAATAACTACAGGAATTGGTAAGTTACATAATCTTGAGCAGTATATATCAATACTCTAGTTCTACAAAATATTGTAACCCAACTCAAGGCTTTATGCTATAATGTGTGGCATAAAGTATCATCAAGTATCAGGTGTATTTAATTGATTAAATTTCTACTGTGGTCAGGGAGCTAGGTGCGATTCATTGTATTCAATGTTGGATAAATGGAAAAGCTGACAGATAGGTTTGTTTGGTTTTTACTACCAAGATGTTCTTGAAAATTTAACGAAAATGTTGTTTTCAAAAATTTCGTGATTGAACTATTCACAAATTGATGAGTTATTGAAAGCTTCAGTATCAGTCAACGTTACCAAGAGTATTGAATTCTGCAAATGTTTATTATAATACTCATTATTTGCAAAAATACAACTATGAAGATATGGTTCTTAAATTGAAGATACAGAAAGTTTGCACCGAGAACCTACATTATGCACAACACTTTTAAAGACAAAAGCGATATGTTACAGACAGAAAACTATTAGAATTGCACACCGTCAACCACTTCTTCATCAAGCTGAGACAGCTACGTTTATGATATTCTATTTTTAGGCTGCTTTGATGGCTGGGTAATGTCAAGTTATCATAACATAACTTGCAATGTACTATAAACATCTATCAACGTCATAAAGAAGAATATATTACTATTTTAGAATGCATCAATCCTTAGCTTAGAATGTACCAAATGTGTCAGTGCAATTAGCATAGAAGTGTTTAATCATTGGATTTTGTTTCAGAAATCTGATAATGGTACGATTCTCATAGAGTCTGGAATTTCTTGAGTGAGTTCAGCGGGAACAAAGGGTATTTTTTTTCGAGAAATTCTATCCTTTTATGGTAAAGCAGTTTGATATTTTGTATACTTTAGTTATTTCTGTTAACTATCTATTTGTTATTCTGAAATCTTTATATTTGCGACATTAAAAATCAGTATGATGTCCGATCTCACTTAGGAAATGCAAACTTTAAGGAGTTCTGATTTGCTCTGTCATTTGTGTTACCGTGCGTTCAGTTATTGAACGCAAGTTACTACACACGAAAGAAGAATTGTTGAAACTTTCATATGTATTGAAAAGTGTGTAAGATTACAGTGGCGAGACTCACATTGATAACTATCTCCTCATATCAATGAGTCTGTTTTCTAAAACAGGATTTTTCACCTTCATATTCATAAAATTTCATGTTTTTTTCAGTAGAGGTTGGACAAAATTGAAATACTAATTAGACGATATTATTCAATTCTCAAAGGTCAATTCTTTCAGCTTCACTTCTATTTCCTTTTACCATGAGATCTGATTGGTTCAGGGACTGAACGAGGTTTGCTGTGACTTGTAATCACTAATTAGTTATGCTTATTTTCCTAAATAAACATACCGACTCAGGAACTTTTTGAAATGTGCACATGAGTATAAAGAAAAAAAGCTTGACTACTATCATTTCATAATATCTTAATCTTAGCTATTCTTAAATCAATTTTGTGATCAGTCGATTCTTCACTATTAAAATCATCTTTCATTAACTTTTTATGAAGCTAAACGTAAATAACTTTTGAACATGCATCTGTTATCATATCTCCAAGGTTATCAAAATGATGTCTAACTGAAAGCCAATCAGATTTTGAGAAATATTTGCTTCACTCTCTTTCGTTTAATAAGAGATAGAGAATTTAGAATCTCGTTCACGTATGTGGATCTGTGTCGAATTGTATGTATATACATTTGCCTGCTGGAATAATTCTACTTAACCGATATCTGTTGAGTTGATTTTATCGTGTTTTGTTATAATAATAATAATAACAGTAATAATAATAAACCTCCCTTTGTAAATTTGTCTTCGCGCTAAAATAGTTTTGATCTAGCCTGAATTTCAAACATTTCATTGGTAATAATCTTCACTAAAGGCGATGGAGATCTATATAAAAAGTAGATTCACTAAACTGATTTAGAAGGGTTTCTAAAATTTAAATTTGTTGTTATTCATCTTTTGAATGTGTAAGATTAGATTCAAGATTCAATGTTACACTTGACTAATTAGTTGCAAAGATGGATGAAAAATGATATTTCACGTTATACGAAAACATAATATGAGCGATGACTAATCTAAGCATCTTTAATTTTCTCGGCTTATGTCGCTATCTGAACAAAAGTATCTAAAAATGTAAAGTCCGAATGAAACTACAGAGGTAGGTAGTGCATGAAAGTGATTGGATTTACAGGCGTGTCAGTTAAATGTGTGACAATTATCGACTTTGACGTTTTCCGCAAAATTTACTGATTTCGAGAAGAGCCAAAATATGTATTCAGCATATCACATATTACACCTGAATCGATTGTAATAACTGTAAGTTTGAGTAGATATGAATCGTTTATTAGATAACTGAGGAAGATGTACACAAATACTGACCGAAGTTTCCTCATATAAAGAAAAATTTTTTCAACTGGAGTGTCACATACGAGATAGTTTGAAAGCAGTTAACAAAACATCTGGTATCCGCCTATGACCTTTGTTAAAAGAAACTGGTAAAGTTCACCTATTATCATGATAAATCTCATATTAGTTCTCATATTCAAGGTTTTTTATTGTGGTGGACAGTCAATCTTACCTCTCTGCGCATTTAGTCCACTACTGGAAATATATAAGTATAACTGGAATTGAATAACAGTAATGTATTCAATACTTATCAGAAAAGGCATAGATTTTTGAATGTCATTGGTTATTTAGCTTTTCTATCATTGCCAATGAACTAGCAACTTGAATGGAGGCCACCTTTCTGTTGTCTGTAAAGTTACAATTGGTGCTTGTTTTAAGAACTTCATTCGAAATCATTTCGTGCTCACTGTTTTAATATTCATCTCATTTAATGTTCAACTATCATTGCATATATCTTTCTCTCAATAAGTACAAAAAATAAAACGGATAATAATATCCCTAAATGCCTTTTTTTATTTATCCTTATCAGTTTGGACAGGCCAAACAGATACAAAATTTTGGTTTGAATAAAAAAGGCATATCTTGTATTCACTAGCTTGTACAACAAGTGATTTAAAAGCAACATCCGGTCGTCTGTTGTAAGACAAACAGACCTCTCAGTGGTTTGTTAAGTACGACCATAGTAATGAAGGTGGATAACACATAGAAGTTATACATTTTATATCCCATATGTCTCAGTAGCACTGCTAGTGTGTCATGAGACCATGCAAAGTCAGTTCTGAACAATTGTTTTTTATAGAGTACCATTGATGAGTAGTGACCAGCGATGGAATCGAGCACGTACGACTTACTTGCCTCCTAGTGAGCGTTGCTGTTCCCACTAAGAGTCGGACTGAAGACCGATCTCTCCAGGCACCAGAGCGTTATCTATTAGACCACCCAGTCACGATAGCCCCACCTTGTACGACAGGTATAGTTTCAATGTTGTTGCTTGTATTATTCCGCCGTTGAGTGAACCGAATAGAACAAATTCTTTTGGCATATGGGTTCCTGTGCGGATGCCTCAAAATTGCCTGGATTTTAATTATATGTTAATACAAGCAATAACATTTTCAATAAAGATGCTTGAAAACCTAATGGAATGAACAGAGTGAGATATGTGTTTCAAGCACTGAGCTACTGCTGAATAAAAGTACTATGCCAGCAGGATTACGTTAAGAGGAATTCTAAAGTGGTAGGGAGTCGTTATAGTATCATTTCATAAGTCCAGTGATTGTAAGGAAGTATAATGTACTTGCCTGCTGTCCACAAGATGTTAAAGATCACTTGCTAGTGACTCTCAATGAGATGACTGAAAATATATCATACTGGCTTAAATGCTTACACTTTTAACTTTTCTGCCAACCTTGAGTATTATATCAGATCATACTTGTTATTCTTCTGCCTTTATGGGAGCTTACACAGATACACCTTTATCGGTGTTACCACACTGAAATTCTGGTTTATTACTGAGTACTGAAGTAATGATCGAAACTGCTATGACCTTTATATGCTTTGAGTGGTTGAAGAAATGAATGTAAATAGGCGATGAATGCAGGATAATGTAGACTTTTAGATTCCGAACCATTGATCCAATGGTAAACTTCTTGCCGCGAAACCTGAATGTCCTGTGTTCGATCTCCGGTGGGGTTATGTGTGCACATTGCTGAGGAATTCCATACTGGGAAAAAAAAGCTGTTCGGTGTTCCCACTTTTTCAGTGATTCTCTCGTTGATGTCACATCACGATAAACGCCACCTAGAAAGTTTTCAACTCAGCCATATAACAGACGGGACTTTATCTTTACTATATAGATGTTTAAAATATATGACTTAAAAAAATCCATTAATTTCATCAAATCGTTTTATATGATATTTTCTTTAGTGAAATAATACCACGATTCACTTGTTTTAATCAGTCTTTATGAGTTTGGTTTTTATCCAGCAGGTGATAGTGAGTTATTGAGATGAACGATATACTGACTGACTGACGAAATCAACCTAGATCATCTCACCAACGTCCATCAATCCACGTTGAAACACTTCAAAGTAGGTCACAAACAATAGGTAGATAGAAAACGAGTAATGTCAGAATAAACATAGTTGCGTGAGAGAACAAACAATCTGAAGATAACAGTTAGTGAATATATTCAAGCGTTAGCAAATATCAGGAAGTGAATACATGTGCACCACTGGGACCAATTTTCAGCCATGTCACCAAGAGTCCTCAAACACTCATTCCTTCCCTATCGGGGACTCCAACCAGGTAGTCTAGATCTACATTGGTCAGACAAAAAATCAGGGACTTCATGAAGTGGTGCCACGTGTTCGTCTGGTCACACTGAAGCCAGTTTTAACCGAAATCAACTTTCATAGCGTGGTAGGTCAAGGTAGGCGGTGGCTCGACATACACAGTACATGTGCAAGCCATCTAAGTCGATTAAGTTTTACAACCTCATCAATCGACTTTGAACAATTCGGGCACAATCGTTTTTCTACCATAAGTCATATTCGACAATCAACCCACCTGTCATTGTAAATATACCGACCAACAATCCGATATTTCTACCAGCCAACATTACTTCCTCTGTATCTGTTCCAGATGCACCATCGCGTTTGCCTTTCCTTGCAGCCCATAAACCAACAAACAGGATCAGTAAGTAGAACACCACAATTGCTACTAATCCAGGAATATATATCATCCTGTCTTTATTACAATTGAATTAGGTGATTATCAGTATTGGGTAAAAGAATAAGACTTTGTTCAGGTCATAAATTCGTCAACATCTGGAAGAGAAACAAAAAGGGCAAACATATGTACAGAATGTTAGGTTTTGTGTTTACTACACAGTCCAAAATATTCGAATAATCTGTCAAATAAATACTGATAAATAAGGTCACTTACAAAAATAAAATACATTGATGAACCATTATGTGGATTTATAACGATCATGAACTTTTATTAGTTCAAGTGGTGGTCGGTTAGTCAGGAAGGACGCTCTAGCAGTTTTCAGTTTTCAATAGTGCCTTTAAGAGGTATTTGTGTCAGCATTAAAAAATCCCAAGTAAATCATTCAAAAACCAGAAGAAAAACATTTTCGAATGACTTAATCTTATTTCACATGAAACTTAACTCTGGTCTTACAATGAGAATTCTGAAGATCGGAAATAAAAGGCTGGAAGATCAGCAGAGGGTCTTGTACAGAAGTGTAACAATGACATCAAGAATTTCATATTTATTAAGCTTACATCTGTGCATATATATATGTCTATAATGTAATTTATACCTATGAGTGAGGTATTACATTAGGAAATCATAAACTTATTTTCCTGATAAGAAGCTTTTAAGTGATACAATTTTACAACTGTCTCTTTGTTTTATTCCCATCTCCATAAACAGTAGTACTTAGGATTATCCATTCGAAATAGCTCACTTTATTATTGATGACTTTAAAACACTTAGTTGCTAAAAAATATCTGGTGCATTCTATAAAACACTTTTCTCCACGTTAAGTGAAGTGTAGTAGGATGAAATGTCTGGAATGAAAAATATTAGGCAAGACATTACCTGATCGTTCAACTGTTAATCACCTATAAAAACCACTATAGGCTGTAGCAGTCAAAAAGAAATATTGCATGCAAAAGGAGACAACTGAAGTTAGGAATACAATCAGCAAAAGGAATCCTTGTGATGCATACCTTTTGACAACTTGAGACGATACTGTGCAGAAATGAGGGGCGGAAGTGCGGCATTCAGCTGCTTTTGTAATATAACTTAAATGTTAGCTTCTCGGTGAATAAATACAGCGTACAGGAATAATGATCTTCTTAAGTTCTCTTTTTACCATAAAATGTTGTTATGATGGATGCTATATGATTTAAAGTATCAGGTAGGATATCCAGGAGATAGGAAACAGTGAGAAGGTCTTTAACAGTAGAGCTGAATGATAATAGTTCAACTGTTGTGTGTGTGTCGTTTCAATATAAAGTCTAAAAAGGGTGTTTGTACAATTTGGCTGATCATTTACGCAACACGTTACGTTAAAGTCTTCAATATGAGACAAAGAGACATCTCGTAATGGTTTCATTTCCAAGTCAGTCACTTTTTTCCATATGTTAGGCAAAAACGAATGTTATTTTTGTGGTTATAGGCAAAAATGTAGTACTTATAAAAATTAGAGACTACAGTAGTACACGTAGTTGTGGGGATGTTTGAGTTACCGTGCCTTATAATAATACGTAAACATGTATTGGGTTGTACATGTGTTGCACATGCCAAACAACCGCCTACCTCAACACACCATATCAAAGGAATTTGGATTATGTTGGGACAGGGTAAAGAGTGGCAAGCCGAACACGTGGCACCACTTCATGAAGTCCCTGATTTTTTGCCTGACCAATGTAGATCTAGACTACCTGGTTGGAGTCCCCGATAGGGAAGGAATGAGTGTTTGAGGACTCTTGGTGACATGGCTGAAAATTGGTCCCAGTGGTGCACATGTATTCACTTCCTGATATTTGCTAACGCTTGAATATATTCACTAACTGTTATCTTCAGATTGTTTGTTCTCTCACGCAACTATGTTTATTCTGACATTACTCGTTTTCTATCTACCTATTGTTTGTGACCTACTTTGAAGTGTTTCAACGTGGATTGATGGACGTTGGTGAGATGATCTAGGTTGATTTTGTCAGTCATATATATATATATATATATATATATATATATATATATATATATATATATATATATATATATATATATATACATTTGTTACATGCCAGGGGGAGATATTATATCTACAAACCTTTTAGTTAAATAAAATGGTTTCCTCTGAAAATTATTTATGACTTGTCAGATAGGATTCATCCCCATCAGGTCACTGAATGAGGTAAGAGGCGTTTTTTGTAGTTTCATATTAGTACCTTTAATATCTCTATTATTAGCACTATTCGGAGGTAATCATTATTTTGTGAAAATATATTGTACAGGGAGCGTATTTGTTGAAATATTATATGCTGAAAATTCCATAGTGTATCAAACATGTTGCTTGGAATAGAGCTACTGTTATTTTATCATGATGGTTATGGCAGTGATAAAAGGGCTGTTACTGCTTCACTAAATAAATCTTTATGTGGTTTGTGTCCATCTAAACCAATGAAATCTTGAATTTAACCCATTTCTGACTAATTCTTAATGCGAATGTAAATTGCATAAAAATGAATATTTACACCATCACCTCTAGCATAATAAAATGACTGCGATACATCAGTGGTATCCCACAACTGTTCTTGATAATCCTATGTTTTTTGGATACTCCATAAGGTAGTCCTGATTAAAATAAGATGTGACGTTTCACTATTTAGCAGAGTTATTTTCGAAAGATATTTTTTTCAAAAAAAGCGAATAGTTTAGAATTAAAGAGTTGGCCAGAAACCAAATAATTTTTTCTTTCCACTATGAATGCTTATGCAAGATTCACTTTTTGTCTTCCGAATTTATTTAAATCCCAAATGGTGATGTATCCAACTTAACTTTGTATGATTCCCTGAAAATTATCAGACCGTTTATAGGGAAACTGATTAGTTGAATGAATGACATTGTACTAGTATATCTGTTTTCCTTGGTTAGTCAACTGTTAGTTGTTTTGGACTACCATGAAACCGATGAAGAATGAGTCTGCCAAATTTTGTTCGACAGTAGACTTGTCCTACTATTTCCCTTGTTTGGATGACTATTTTCATGGTTTAAATAGTAAAAACCCATCAGCGCGCAAAATCCGTTGGGTACAAACGTCGTTCGGATGAGCGAAAACACTGCAGTACGATTACTTCACGCAGATGTGTAGAAAATTACTAAGTGACTAACCTAAAGAGGAAGATACTCATCCAATTCATCACCAATTAAAATGCCATCCATGGAAATTAGCAAACGAATCATTTTACTGCACATAAAGCACATTTCACAGATCACTCAAGACTGCAGAGGTTATGTAAAGTATAAATGATACGCACGTCAATAGATTCCGTTCAAGCTATATTATTCAAACCAAAAGACACAGCAGCCAAAGAAAAAAAAATCAAATATCACATTCAAAGTCAAATGCACCAACTGCGATCAATACTATAATGGACAGAGTGGTCTTCTTCGCCTTCATCTACATGAACACTATTCGGAAACTATACAGCATGAAATTCCGTCGCTTATATCAATGCATATGAACAATGCAGGTGACTAACTTTGGACAAGAGTTTGATTTTGAAAATGTTCCTATCTTGGAAAGTGAAAACACAGAATATCAGGGACTTCCTAGAAGCTTAGAGTTCAAAACAGTCAGCAATCAATAGATGTATAGACATAGAACCAATCTGTTAACCAAAACAAAATGACAAACAAGGAATAGCCAATGGGAAAGTTTGTGCAGTTGGTGTTACAACAATCAAAGAAAAATATCCATCAAAAACCATTTGCAAGTTACTGAATCATTCATGGAGAAATACCAATAGCTCGCTTCGTATAGAAGCTACTACTAATGCGGTCTCTAAAGAAAATGGAGGCTTCACGATTGAACTATACAGCTCAGAGTCAGCTATGTAAATGAAATTATATACCCGTGCTATAAATATTCGGTATCATTTCAAAATTATTTGGGTGCAACATCTTAGTTTTTTGCTGAAATTTTTTCTCTTTCCGAAATTGTTCATAATCCTTTTTATCAGCTGTAAGGAATGCTGGGGTCAAGAAAGTTAACCACATTTATTTGCTACTCTTGGATTTATGTCAGACAGAGAAAATCAACTAAGAACTTCGCATACAAGTGTATTGGTGTAGTTTGCAACACTTGATAGCATAATACAAATAACAAGTGGATGGGAAAGACTGGTATCAAAGTATACAGAAATGTATGGAAGGGGATGAAAATATAAAAATTAAGGTTAGAAAAAACATTCGAGCTTAAGAAGATGTCAAACAGTGAATGCATCCGCGCCACTGCGACCAATTTTCAGCCATGTCACCAAGAGTCCTCAAACACTCATTCCTTTCCAGGTAGCCCACACCACCCTACATGGCTCTGATTAACAGTCAGGTATTTCATGAATTGGCGCCATGTATTCGTCTGGCCACCTTCAATCCTCTTCCAAATTTACCCACCTTCTACCAGTATTTCATGTTGAGGTAGGTGGTGGCTCGACATGCGCATTACATATCCAATCGACATCAGTCGATGAACATTCATATCATCGATTGATTTGAGTTGCTTGCTCAGTCCTAGTCAGTCGCCGCCGGATATGATGCAAGTTAGTAAACGCAAAATGACCCTAGTGTATCCGATCTGAGGTTTCGTCAGCAACCAACTCATTCAACCTGTGGAGTGGTCGACTCATTCCATCAACTTCCTACCATTAAGCAAGGAATCACTGCAGGAAAGTCGTGGGGCATTATCTTCCATTTGACAGGTGCGAAACAAAAGCCAGCCACACATACTTAGATTTTAGTCCAGCACGATGAGAAGCTCCTAGATTTTGTCAGCGTCTTCACCCAACAGCATTATAACGTCTTCATACACCAAGTCAAGTGAAAATATATTTCTATTCAAACAGTTAGAAATTAACCTCCAGCCTTTTATTTTTACTCTCTTATGATGTAAGACATGAAGAAATGCCCGATTTGTAAGCTGTTTCTTTTATTGTACACTAACAT